GTGATCTGCCGGGGCCTTGATTCAAGACCTTTGAGCCAGAAATGAATGTCCCGAGGCACCTTCAACAACAGAAAACGTCAATCAACATCGAAAGTCGTGATGTGGACATAGGCCGATTGAACAAATTGGCTTGCAAGGCGATTGGCGTCCGTCTTGGCCTTCACGTACGGACTTGTACGGGGGGCAGCCATGACTAGGCCATCGTCACCACTCCTCTGAATCCATTGCGAGTCTCACAACGACAACACTCGCTCTTCGGAGATGTGTAGATCTGTAACATACTTTTCTTTCTCTACGGCAACATGTGCTTGAACGACGTCCTGCCGGCGCGCCAGGACGCTTGCTGGCAGCTGGCGGACGCAATCTCAGAACACGAACTGGGATTCGGGATTCGGAGCTTTCAAGCCACCGCCATCAAGTCCGGAAGAAAGCTCAAAACTGCCAAGCTGAAGCTGAATTCCTCAGATAGCCAATGAAGCCACACAGACAGAGCATGGGGAATCTGAAACGACTAACTCAGGATTTGTGGCAGTTCGCAATCAGGAACTATTTCGTGAAGCGCAATTCCAAGTTAAGGATCATGGCCTTGAAAATCTGTCGCGACGGTTATCATACACACATCGCATGAAACCTCTTGATCGTTGATACTCTCTTGCTGTTCAAGAACAGATATTTTCATAGCTGTACCAACTCATTGTCGTGGATGTTGAATAACATGTTGGTAGATGCTCAGCACAATGCTAAGATAGTTGGAATGAGAATATAACATATGAACAAGCCTAAAATGCATGTAAATACAATTTGTAAAGTAAGCACACAGGCTGAGTAAACATTCATGTGAAACAGTGCCGCTGGAAAGCAGAGCTCTTAATTAGTTCGCTGCTACTGTTGGACGTCTTACATCGTTGGCTCCTCTGTGATTGGCACTCGTAGCTTGTCTCAATTTGCATCCCCTCTCCCCTGCTCCCCGCTCCCTAAGCTTCCTCAGAAGGAGGACTGGCCAAGACATCAGACACGAGGTTTGTTCAATTTGATCCTGCAAAGTTGGGGGTCGTCAGTCGCACAGGGTGTGGAGTATGGACATCATAGAACTGATGAATGATTAAGGTCCAACACAATGGATGGGTCTGAAGCCAAATTCCGTGCGTCAGCAAGCGACTTTCGAATCAGGAGTAACAGGAATAGTCAGCCGCTGTCTGTAGTAGATTTCCACAAACCCCCTTTCCAGATCCAAACTCAAGAGATTGTCTATGAACCGCCGCTTACTGTACGCGCATAGCGAGACATGGCCGGCCCGTTGCCTGTACCTTGCAACATCAAATCGCACAAAATGCGCTTCACACTTCGCGCCTCACCAGCTACACGCCGCCGCCAGTTTACACGGTGCAGCGTGAGACTGTGCCAAACGGACAGGCAACAGGTCTACAAACTGGAAGATTACTTTAGCGGACATTGGTATTGCAGACAAGAATGTCATTGGCAGTTTGTGCCGTGCAACGACTGCTTTGCACGGAACTTGCGGTCCAATGCGATGGTGGCAGCAGCAGCTGGTGCAGCCTAGGATGTGGACGCAAGTAACGTAAAGATTCCCTGTTGCTTGTGTGCCTGACCTAAGAAGCAGCCTTTGACTCGAGTGTACATCGCATGATAAGTAAGACTCTCTGCCTTCACTAAACTGTGTGGAAACAACCAGACACGCCGCTGAAGCTGTTCCAAGTTCACTGAACTTGTTGTGCTTAGATGGCATTTCTTACTCTTTGACAATCCACAATAATCGAAACCCTTGTTCGGCATGCTGACAATTGGCCAACTTGGATAACCTGTGAGATGGATGCTGCAAACTCAACGGTAAATGGCAACCCGATCAGAAACAAATTAGTACTGAAGCACACGCCCCGTCAAATACTAAATCTAGCTGTTTGGGGGCGCCAGGCTGGATGAGCAGTTTACATACAAACGGCTGGGAGCTCCCATACGAGTTCGGTTTTTTGGATGATTTCCATGCAAACGGGTTGGAGATACTCGTGCTTTTGTATGCAAGCGGCATCAAACGTCTGCGATTTGTGGGAGGCGGGGTTGCTTGCGTACTTTCATTGCTTATGTGGAGGTTCTAGCTTGCACGGCGTTTGGCAATAGTGCGCCGCAGGCCAGGTCGCTCTTCTTTTCAAACTGATTCAAACCATCGAGTCAATGTGGTCATGAGGCAATTCCGCTCCGGTCGCTACGACGTAGCCGACAAGGGTCTTTGCCCTTGAATGCACGAATTGCCAGATTGCCGGAGGCTCGGAGTCGCTGCTCATAGGGCTGGCGGTGTCCTCGACATCTTCAACTGGGGACATACGGGGCGATGACAAAGGCGACCACTGGCTGTTGCCGTGGGAAGCTTTGAGAGGCTCTTTCTCGCCACTGGTCAGCACTAACAGCCCCACGATCATGCCCGCGATGCATGAGAAGTACCCGGCGAGTTTCCACCAGGGCTCCCCATCCATCTCCCCTAACACAATCACGGCGGACAAACTGTTTAACAGAATGCTCGAGCCCTGGAAGACGGTGACCATGAACAGAGCCTCATACTGCCGCATGCCTCTTGCCATGTATGGCACGCTTGCAATGGCGAAGAAGAGGGCTCCAGCAGCAATTGCCCACGGGAGCCAGTTGCTCCAAGTTTGGGCACAGCTGCCCGTGAAACATTCTTTCGCAAAGACTGCACCCAAACCTGAACTGCTGTGGAGGCTTTCTCTCTCTTCCCTTCATCAATCTCCCTTTATCCCATGGCTACGAGCTCCGCTTTCTTAACTTGGCTCCAAGCTGCGGGTGCACCACATGTTGCCTGCGAGCGATCCAGAGATCGCTCCGAGGGAGAAGCCCCGGACAACGGAGCCGTCCGGCCAGCGTGCGAGCGCTCGCACGTTTGCGAGTAGCCACAACGTGAAAAATAGAACATATGCAAGACAGCGAGATCGAAGTAAGGCATCCTGACTTCGCTCCAGTGTCCATTGCTCCGTGTGCGCGTCCTTGACGAAGACCGACAGAGTTGCACTTACGAAGACGATGAGGATTCCAATGTAACGACAGTTTGTCAGCTCTTCGCCGAGTGTGAGAGGTGCAATCCTGCGCAAAGGAGTACCGTTCGCCTATCGCTCCAGGACTGAGTTTCGACACATACTGCGGCAAGGTGAGGGAAGGGAAGCTACAGCTACGGAGAATGGCCAAGCGGCATCGCGCTGATAATGATGTTCAAGCCGGTGAACGGTGCAATGACCGAGGCTGGCGCAAAGGCATAGCCCGATACGTCAAGAGCTGGTCCGAGGATCATGTTCAGAAACATGCCGGCAGCGAAGCAGATTCTGCCTGATCACAAGAAGTTGGAAAAGGCCACACGCGGCCTAATGAACTGATTGAGAACCCCTTGCCCCCAGCCCGCCCTGATTTGGCCATGGCATGCTAGCCTTCGGTAAAGTGTCCTGACTGGCTCTTGAGCTCAGATGTGCGGATCAAATGCATTCCGCAAGTGCCCACCACAAGGCCAGCCAGCACGAGGCCCACACCGACCAGCCACATAGCACGTGGGACTGTCTGTCTCTTAGTCTTGGAAAGCTACGGACAGGCGTGGCACAATGGCGTGATCTGCCGGGGCCTTGATTCAAGACCCTTGAGCCAGAAACGAATGTCCCAAGGCACCTTCAACAACAGAAAACGTCAATCAGACATCATCGAAAGTCGTGATCTGGACATAGACCGATTGAACAAATTGGCTTGCAAGGCGAGTGGCGGCCGTCTTGGTCTTCACGTGCGAACTTGGACGGGGGGCAGCCATGACTACGCCATCGTCACCACTCCTCTGAATGCATTGCGAGTCTCGCAACGACATTACTCGCTCTTCGGAGTTTTGTAGATCTGTAACGTGCTTTTCATTCTTTAAGGCAACGTGTGCTTGAACGACGTCCTGACGGCGCGCCAGGACGCTTGCTGGCAGCTGGCGGACGCAATCTCAGAACACGAACTGGGATTTGGGATTCGGAGCTTTCAAGCCACCGCCATCAAGTCCGGAAGAAAGCCCAAAACTGCCAAGCTGAAGCTGAATTCCTCAGATAGCCAATGAAGAGAGACACCAGAAAGAGTATGGGGAATCTGAAATTACTAGCTCAGGATTTGTGGTAGTTCGCAATTAAGAACTATTTCGTGAAGCGCAATTCCAAGTTGAGAGTCATGGCCCACATGCGTCATATCACAAAAAGTAGATGCTGTAGATGCCTCTGACGCAAGGCTACTTTGTGCCTGTGCGCAGTGCTAGCCCTTGTCGAGATGCTTCCAGTACCTCTGGCTGCATTCACGGTCGCATCCGGCGCTTTCACTTGGCCGGGACTGCTAGAAAATGATTGCTGAGGTGCGTGGCATCATGCATCTGCTCGCGGCCTGTCGGAGAATAGATTCCCAGGCTTTTTGACACTCCCCACGATCTCCGAAACACGGCGAGTGACTTTGCTTCAGCGTCCTCTGGTGTGCATGCTCTGCCATGCTTTCCCAGCATGGGTCAATTCAAAGTGCCACGATGATGACGAGATCTATGTTGTAAACGCTCTTGGCAGCATTTTGCTCAAGTCAAGGGGGTAGCCAGGAGAGTATAGTAACGGGCAAGTTTGGGAGCGAAAAAACGCCAGCAAATGCACGAGCCAAGCCGGACACTAAGCTAATCCAGTCCGACATGAGAAAGGATCACGCTCATCGTCGATGCCTTTCAATGCATCTCGGCTATCATCGAGGAAGGACCGGCTAATCTGCAGGATAGATCCTGTGGTGTAGACTAAGTGTAGACATTCAGCCTGGCAGCATCTGGCATCTGTGGTTGGACAGACCTGCAGCGATACTTGCTGCATGACGTTGCCCTTAGCACCCATAGCACCCATAGAATCTAGAGCACAAGATCGGTCCGGCCTGGCTCCACGAAGAGCTAGCTGCTTGCACAAGTCAGGTCCCGGCCGTCCTTGCAGGAACTGCACCGATAGAGGCGAAAACCTGCCTTTAGTCGCGGAAGACAAAGGTGGTTGAATGCTGCGGCCGCTCAGAAGTGCTGTGACCTGCAGCCTGACTTGCAAACCATCAACTTGCGTCCTTGCTTGCTGCAGTCAAGCATGCGATGGCCCCCAGCGAAGCCAGTGGCTCCTTGAATTGCACCGCTCAGAGAACGAGCTTTAATGCCGACTCAGGGTGCTGCCCCGTTGTCGAGCGCACCATTCTTCAGCGCAAACTGGGCAAGCTACTCGTCTGCCGGTGGAGCCGCCACGCGAAGGCCTCCCAAGCAAAACACAGGAGCCCAAGAAAGGACTGTGGGCAGAGCTGACATGACGGGCTCATGCCCAGAGCCTGCTAAGGCCGAGTTCAGAAGGCCGACCTGGACTGCAGCCCAACTCGCAAGTGCCTCCAGCGTCAATGCGCCACGAGTGCCTTCTCTTCCAGCTCCTTTGAGACCAGGTCCAAGGCGCCAGTGATCTGGGAGTAGTGCATCGCTCTGTGGCGCGGCATCATTCTGCACCTGCCTGCTCCGGGCAGTTCTGCAGCGCCAATGAAATCATCGGTGCATACTGAAGAGTCCTCTGCAACACTTGAAAGATCAAATGCAACAGCAACAGCCATGGGTTGACGACTGTCTGTCCTCTTCCGCCGCATCTGCCAGTCTTCTTCGGAAGTTGCGAGGAGGGAGTGGAGCGCTGTGGCAGCATCATCCTGGATGCCGCTTCGCGAAATCGCAACGAGTCGACTCAGGCCCGAGACCTCGCTCTCTATGGAGAAGACCTCAGCCAGGTGCACAGTACCGATTACACACTTCGATGTGGCGCTGCTAGCACCCTGAGCAGTTTCTGGGATCTATTGCTCGGCGTGAAAGTGCAAAGAGGAATTGGCTCAAGCTTGTCGTGTCCGTGCTGGGCTAAGCCCTCCGACCTCCCTCTCCCATCCCATCTCTTCGGACATCTAAGAGGGGCTACAGCTACGGTGAGAGACAAAGAGTCTTCAACTTCCTTTTGCCTGCTTCTGCCCGGGCTCTGCCCTCAAGATGATCGAAACACGGAGAGGAGCATCATCTTACCAAGCTTTGGGGATGTGGCTGTTTGCCAAAGCACAGCAGGTGCGCATCTATGCCGCGTTTGACTTCTCTTGTTCGGCTACTGTGCAGTTTGCCCCTCACTGCCTTCGCGTACCCGTCCGGCTCGCATCGATTCTATTTTGCTTGGATGCAGCACGGACAGGCAGGCACGCGCCACCCACGACCGGCAAGTCATGGTCAAGCTGCACCATCCGAGTCCAAACAGACATCCATGGAGCAACATATCGTTGCTGATGGTTCAACCAGAGCAGTCACAAAGTGGTGCCATATCTTACACGTGATGCCTGTCTCGTTTCGTGTTTACACTTCCCTACACAAAAGAAACTGTGAAATGCACGGACCCAGGTTTTGAATAGCGCAGGCTGTTTATGGCAGGTCGCTTGCGTACAAGCTGCACATTCTGAGATAGGTGCCATCGCAAACTCGTTCCAGGGTATCCATGCCACGAACGGGAGCACCTGCAAGAGACAGTTAGAGATAAACAACCATCCCCAAGATGCAGTGTAACTTGCAGAGAGAAACCTGGGCGGTCTGGACAGTCAGCAGCTGCTCTTCTGCTCTTCTGGATTGAAACATGTGCTCACATGTCACGGGCCCAACTAGAGCTCAGGATTCGGGATAGAGACACACTTCAGGATCACCGCGCGAAGGACAAGAACCAACAAATGCTAGACCCCGAGCACCCGTCTGGGGAGAACGGCACAAGAGACAAGCAATGATGCCAAGAGAAATCATCTTGAGCATCATGCACAAAAAAACTGTGGTCGCGTGCACTTGCATGCACATGCCGTGAGGCCTCGGGTCGTTGAACCAACAGAGTATTAGGGAATTCTGGGCCCAAGGCTGGATAGGAGTCTGGATGGAACATCAGAACCGGAATGCACCTCATGCATCAATGTACAAAGCTGGACAACTGCCACGACGAGAGAGTTCGGCCGAGAGGCCCCCTTACCATTGCATCGAAAAGGCGCCCGGCTGTGTTTCCTGCATCGGGGCAGCCAGACTTAGAACACAGCTCCTAAATCGAATCATGCGACACTGCTTCACACGGACTTGAGGCTGGAGTTGAGAGCTAAGCTCAGGCAAGGTTAAGGCACGAGCCAATGGAACTGAGAAAGGGAGTCGCAAAGTCGAATCTTTTTCTGGGCACGGTTGGCTCTGGTACATCCATCACGTTATCACGTTGACCAGCTGTCTGTGCAACGCGCTAGGAAACGAATGCGGCATGCTGCAGCAACCTCCCATAAACTTCCACCTACAGCTGTCGAGCGATTCGAAAGCAGTTGAATGCGAGTTGCATGTTGTGGGGCTGAAGGTTGAAAACGCGTTGCAGTCTTGCTTAGCCACGCCAAATAACTGCCACGTTGAATGTCAGACGCTTCGCTGTGTCGTGCTGAAGTGCATGCTCGCATCCGCAGAAGGCCGCTCTACCGACAGACTCCAGGTGCACTTTCTGGCCCTGGCTGTGCGGCGAGACTAGCAGTGAGCTTTGCACGCGTCTTAGAAAATGCAACATGTAGTTGAAGAAAGTCGGACAATGCAGGTGGGTTTTAACAAACTTTTGTGACGAATGCCAGCTGGAAGGCATTGAGTCAGGGACATCCGCAACCTGACAAGCACGGCACTGAAATTGATTCAGTGACATGTACCGAGCTACAATCCCAGTCCGGCGCTTTTCAAGCACATCTTCACTGAGACATTCGTAATCTACAGATTTGCACAGTTGCCCTTCGGGAACTGAGCCTTTGTGCATGCAGTGGTCCGGGTAATCCTGCTGCTTAGTTCGTTAACTTGGCGTATGATGCTAGTAAGACTATACCATTGAGATGTTCCGCATATTTCTGCCTATTAGCAATTGACGCGAGATGCCGTGTCTGAAGAGTGCCTGCTGTACTCTGCTTTCCATATCCGGCCCACATTGGAGTGTCATTCTGATTTGGTATCATCCTTGAAACACAGGGCATGGCGCAATCTGCCAACTCTTGCCGCTAGGCTGAACAAGAAACACTGCGATGGGTCGCTGATCGTGATTCATCGCCCTGTCCGAGAATATTAAAAGAAGATGGCAACCACAAGGATGTTGTCCCGAGATCCGCGCTCCTTGAGTAGGTGAGGAGTCGAGATGAGGTGTACCCCCAGGCATACGCTTCCCTAGTGCAGAGCTGCATGCCTGTGAGGCTTAAGGCTTAAGGTCTATATAAGCCTTAGGGCTCTCGGCTTTATTGGAGGAAGCTTGCTGTCTGGCCCCGCCTTCGCGCTTCGGACCAGAAACTTGGCGGTGTTCTCCCGCAAGTACTCGGTCACAGCCTGGCAAGTTTTGCTCTCTGCTCTCCGGCTGGGCCTTCCCGGGACTCCCGAGTTTTAAGGTTAAGCTTGCTAAGCTTGATTGCTTCTGAGCACCCCGGAGTAGTTGCAGATTGACTTCGGTGACGGAGATGTCCCCCAAAATCCACGGCAGGCTCTCACATGCAGCATAACCCCTTCTTCTGGCAGCGGCGGTCATTTTATGTACAGGTCAGCCCCTGGTCCCCGCGGGCAACTCCACTCCACAGCAGAAGACAGTGGAGGTCTCTACTTCGCCTCGCTTCTTCTCTACAAAGTACACTCTGGCTCCAATTGTGCTGCTTCTTGGCGGCCAGCATTTTACTGGCGCTACTTCAGCATCCATGGCACCACGAAGATGCTCTCCCAAGCAACGTCACAGGAAATGTGATCCGTCCCGATTCCGGTATCTCAGTGGGGCCGCTGCGCTGCAGCCTGCACTATGCTCTGCGCAGCTCTGAGTATTTGTTCTGCAAGACGAGCGAACCCAAAAAGCGACATGCTGCTAGAGGCCTCGGAATGGGAGCGGCAGCACCCAGCTGCAGCATGCAGCTCGTGGGGCGAAGAGCAGAGGATGGGCGATGCCATGGTACCTGGTCACATGCCGCAAAGATCGGCATCCACATCCCCCAAGGACAATTGCTGCCTGTAACTCAAGCACTCGGGAGCTTGCTGCGAATACTCTTTGGCGTGCTTCATCAACGCACGCCTTGATTCAAAGACTATATCTCGGAAGCAGGCTTTTTGAGCATTGCACTCTTACACATCATCTCTTTTCTGGAGAGTGGCATATGTCGAGGCCCTTCTGCCTCGATCCGGTGATTGAGCTCGGAAATGTTCCTGAGAGCCACATCCACATACAAGTAAGACCAAACCATCGCAAGCTCCATCCACGGCCGAGCATCCCGTCCACCAATTCTCTAAACTCCTCGAGCGATGCTTGATTCTTGTAGGCTTTGAAGACCGCTCTGACATCATCTTCGAACGATTTCTTCAAGCGGGGCCTGCTCGCGGGGCTCTTCAGAAAAAAAACCACACAAACATCGCTCAGCCCGTCAGGATGCGTTAGGCCTCTTGACTATCTCTTCACGCAGCTTTGGATGCAGGCGTTGGAGGAGGGCCTGCAGCTTTGTGCACGAGCATGCCTCTTACGCTTCTCAGAGTACCCTCGCCTCCGGAGCTAAGTCCGAGTTTGGATCTTTCCACAACCATCCAAACAGAAAGGAGGTCCTGAGTGGCGACCGCAAACAACACTTGTTACACTGGACAGGAGCTTGGGTTCTCATTGCGCTTTCTTGACAGGCCGCCGTCCAGATCCTTGGTCGAAGCCAAACAAACTCGTCGACCCTCGAAGCAAAAACGCAGTGCTCACACTGTTTGTTAAACTCAACAGCAGCCGAACTGCCAGGACTGGATGCCGTGGCCCACTCATGGCACTCACCATGCACCACCATGGCACAAAGGAGACAGAGCAGCTGGAAAGCGAGTCTTGCATCTCACGTGTCTTTGTGGACAGAGAGGCATGCAGCATGGCATTGTCATTCATGATGCGCTCGTATGCGAATGTGCTCTTTGTGGGCCATTCGTAGATTTGATTTGCGGTACCTTTCACGATCACCAACATCTAGCGCGCTGGTCTAAAAAGCCTTGGTTGCGGGCAAATGTAGCTTTGGCCATCAACTATGGCTACGGTCATCAGAGAGGAAAGATTCCATGTAGGAGCACATGAACTGATATGCGAGCAGACCTACAGTCGCTCAACATGCTTTCGTAAGCTCAAGGATTCTGAAGGATGTTGCACAGATGGACAATGTGGGCAACTGCCAACTGCGAGCAGCTGGCACAAATGTTCATCACACCAGCGCACCAAAAGATACTCAGAGCATGTCTGCCAAACCTGCTGGAAGACACCTTTGGCATGGGCGAAAAGTGCAAAGTTCGGCCTGGCCGCTCGCCACGGCTGCCTTGACGATGCCAACCAGAGCCTGCAGCAGAAGAAGCCCTTCTGTGTTTTCACACCGGATGCGTGCTGCTGGAATCCAAGACCACCCTTCCTTACCCGAAGCTCTCCAGCCGGATTCTGGAGTTGAAACCCATGTAAACGACCCACCTCGCTAGTCTGAAACCGGGTGATGCAGACATGCGGCACACAAATGGCTGAACAATACCTTGCGGTCTTTTGGGTGGGCGAGGCGTGTTGCCCAGTACTCCCCTCTCCACACGCTTGCAATGTGGGCCGGATCTGGATGCGGCAGCTTTGCTTGAATAGCTGGCACAAATGTATTGTATGATAACGCTTCATCTGCATCAGTCGCTTGCAGACTCGCATGCGCTTAGCATCATGCGAGGATCCAACCGATGCCTATTCTCCAGCTCGCCTCGCCCATGCGGAGCGGCTTGAGGGCCACTACATGACTCAAGCGGTGCACTGCCCGTCCAAGGCTCAAACAGCGTTGTCGGACATTTTGATTTTGGGAGTGCGAAGCATCTGCGACAATGCTATCTGAGCCGTTAGCCTCACTCGGCGAACCGACACGAGATGTTGTTCGATCACAGCGACGTCGCAGACAATTGATTGGTGAAGGACTCCGCACCAGGGAATCTCATGGAAATAATAGGGTGGATTTTTTTTGGGTGGCTTTTTTTTTTCTTTGGGTCT